CTTGGGGCATTCCAAAGTGGCAGGACAATATGTAAATATCATACACTGGTCAAAACAATTCTTTAAGATATCTGACTCTGCTCCCGTGGCTCCCTCTTGGAGAATACTTTTTAGCTTGTTTGTAATCAGTGGTAAGTGGGCACCAGCTGCCTACTTGGTATAGTTTTGTGTTATGAGAAAATACAGAACACCTGTTTGTTAATAATAATCACCTGTTCAGAGAGAATGAATACATGGATCAGAATCTGCTGGGGGCCTTCAGACTGCAATGCTGTCAGCTCCTGAGGCTCTTGGTTCAGAAGGCTACTGGCTCCTCAGATAGACTCACTTCGCTGTTCTATCTGGGTGTCTGCCTTTCAGTTCCTTCAGCACTGCCTCGGTGGGGGTCTCTGTGGCTGAGCTGGCTCGCAGTATAAAAGAGCTGGAAGGAACCTGCTTAGGTGGCCTTTTGCCTATCTGCTCTTTTGCTACATGAGGACGTAGCAAGAAGGCCCTCTCCAGACTCCTAATAGCGGCACTGTGATCATAGACTTCCAAACCTCCAGAACTGTGAGTAGTAAATTTCTATTACTTGTAAATTACCCAGTGTCAGATGTCTGTGACAGCAGCACAAAGGGACTGAGACCAGGCAAGCATAGGACAGACACTTCCATTGTGAAGGACAGAATTTGCAAGGAATTAAAGGGGTCATGGTCTCACACAAGTTTGTGACATAAAAGGGAAAACTACATTCGTTTTCAAGGCCTTAATAACTTTCTGACTCGATCCAGCCTCTGGGCCCAGTGGGTGCAGTTGGCCTTGGCCTCTGGGCCAGCAGCTCAGCCCTCCCTAGCCTTTGCATCCATGACTCTGGCCTGGGAGTCAGTCATTTTTCCTTCCATTTGTTCTGTCTCTGTACCTTTCCATCCAGGCTGGCAGTATTTCTGCTGGTATAAAATTCTCAAAAATCTTGTCAGTTTTCTGTGGCTATCAAGGGGATCCACACCTTTAGACACAAGGTTCTCCACAGATCTTTCCTGGATAACCCCAACTCTATTCCTGGCTTCTGCTGACATCGTTGATGGATCCATATGTCACACAACTATTCTCTTTAGCAAATTATTGTCTGGACACACTCTTCAGGGCAGACCTTCTCATCCTTGGCAGTATATTTAGGCCTAGAATTTTCCAAATCATCAAATCTTGGTTCCTTTTTGCTTAACAATTCTGAGGCAGGAGGATAGGGAATTAGGGTAACCAAGGGTTAAAGAAGAAGCAAAAGAACAGCAGGTGCAGCCATTTCTAGGAAAAATTGGGCAGCACACAGGCTCCTCACTCCTGTAATAAGGAGACAGAAGTTTCCACATCAGCATCTGATTGACTGTGTGCCAAACCTTCACTTCAGCCTCTGATTGGTCACAGGCCTAACGGGGTGTGTCTGATTGGAATCCTCTAAAGGGCACCAAGAGGTGTTGCTGGGTTCTTTGAGCTTCATAAAAACCCCAATTGAAGAGGTTCTTGAGCCCACTCCCACCCTGTGAATTGTATTTTTGCTTCTTCAGTAAATCTGTGCCTTTGCTAGCCCATTCTTTTGTTGCTTTGTTTGTGCATTTGTTCAATTTTTTTGTTAAATACACCAAGAACTTGGACAACTCACAGTTAAGACCTTCCATTCGGGAACAGTTCCTAGCTCTAGATCTTTCCTCTTGGATTTTAATGTAAGCAGGCTGGTTTCCAACTCTTGGCTTCAAGTCATCTTCCTGCCTTGGCCTCCCAAAGTGCTGGGATTATAGGTATGAGCCACCATGTGTGGCCCCGGCTAATTTTTAAAATGTTTTCATAGAGACAGGGTCTTACTGGGTTACCCAAACTGGTATCACACTGCTGGCCTCAAGAGATCCTCCAGCTTTAACCTCCCAAAGCACTGGGATTATAGGCATGAGCCACCACACCTGCCCCCTAACAGATATGTTAGAGTTCTAACTTGGAATATGTATGAAGTTAAGATGAGGTCATATTGGATTTGGATGGGCCCTAAATCCAATAACTGGTGTCCTTATAGCAAGAGTGGAGAAAAAGAGCCACACACAGGGGAGAAGGCAGGGATTGGATTGATGCCTCTACAAATTGAGGGACGCCAGGGATTTCCAAGAACCACCAAGATCTTGGAGAGAGGCAGGGAACAGACTGTCCCTTAGAACACACAGAAGGAACTGATCCTGCCAGCCCCTAGATCTCGGACTCCAGCCTCCACGACTGTGAAATAATACACTTCTGTTGTTTTTAAGATACCCAGTTGGTGGTAATGTGCTACTGCAACCTTAGGAAACAAAGATTTTGGTACTGAAAAGTGGGGTGCTGCCATATTAATATACACAAACATGGAAGTGCCTTTATTAATAGAATGGGGTGATGGACAGAGGAAGATTTTTGAGGCACATGATAGACTAAGCCTAGATTGCCTTGAAGAGACAATTAGTGGAAATGTGAGAGCCCCATCTCTATAAAAAAAAAATAAAATTAGGTGGACATGGTGGCATACACGTGTAGTCCTAGCTACTTGGAAGGGCAAGGCAGGAGGATTACTTGAGCCCAGGGGGCTGCAGTGAATTATGATCACGCCGCTGCACTCCAGCCTAGGTGACAGAGCAAGACTAGATTCCAATTGCAACTGTGTCACTAACTACTAGCTTTGTGCCTTTGGACAAACTTCAGGAAAACATGGATAATGCTACTAATCCAGTGGATTTTTGTGAGGATTAAATGAATTAAACTGTGAAAGAACTGGTCCATATTAAGAACTATATACATAGCTATATAACCAGTATTTTTTTTTTTTTTTGAGAGACAGTCTCATTCTGTTGCCCAGGCTGTAGTACAGTGTCGCAATCTCAGTTCACTGCAACTTCTACCTCCCAAGTCCAAGTGATTCTCCTCAGCCTCCTGAGTAGCTGGGATTGCAGGTGCTCACCACCATGCCCAGCTGATTTTTATGTTTTTAGAAGAGATGGGTTTTCACTATGTTGGCCAGGCTGCTTTCGAACTCCTGACCTCAAATGATCCACTCACCTCGACTTCCCAAAGTGCTGTGATTATAGGTGTGAGCCACCATGCCCAGCCTAACCAGTCACCTTTTACTGTGTGATGCCCTAGTCATCAGCTTTGGCCTCTCACAACTGGTAATCTCTATGGGGCCAGACCTTTAGTTTTCTGAGTTATTTCTTTAAAAATTCAACTTTTTCAGTTAGAAATATTAGCTATTTCACACACACACACACACGAGGTTAAACACTGACATACAGTGTAATGACTTCCTTTCAATAATTCTTGAAGCAACCCGGTATGAAAAATATTTGTGTTTGGTCTCAGGTAGAAGGGAAGGGTGTGAGTGTGACATTCCAAGGAAGGAGGTAGGCCTTGGTGAGCTGTTGAATAGAGAGGTTCTTGTTGGTGCAGGAATCACAGAGGACTTAAGACAAACCTGGGGTGACTGGGAAATTAAAGACAGGGTGCTGCATTTATGTACAGCTATATTTAAAAATTACTCCAAAACAGGCCTGGTGAGGTGGCTTATGCCTATAATCTCTGTGCTTTGGAAGGCCAAGGCCAGAAGATCTCCTAAGGCCAGGAGTTTGAGACCAGCCTGGGCAACATAACAAGACCCTTTCTCTACATAAAATAAAAATTAAAAAAATTTTGCGTGGTAGAGTGTGCCTGTAGCCCTAGATACTTGGGAGGCAGAGATGGGAGGATCCCCTGAGACCAGGAGTTCAAGGCTGCAGTGAGCTATGATCGCACCACTATACTCCAGCCTGGGTGACAGAGGGAGTACCTATCTTAAAAAAAAAAAAAAGCTAAAACATGATGGCTTAAAAAAATAACAACCATTTATTTTATCTCGTTTCTATGGATCATGAGTTCAGACAGCATGGTAGGGATGGCTTGTCTCTGCTCCATGATGTCTGGGGTGTCAGCTGGAGTGCTTGAAGGTTGGGGACTGGAATCACCTGAGGCCTTTTTACCCATATTTGTATCTGGACTGAGGCTGGAATTTGATTGCTTCAAAATATTTTCACGGCTGGATGTGATGGCTCACGCCTGTAATCTCAGCACTTTGAGAGGCCGAGGCTGGCCGACTGCTTGAGCCTAGCAGTTCACAACAGCTTAGGCAACATAGGGAGACCCAGTCTGTACAAAAAATACAAAAATTAGCACCTGTAATCCCAGCACTTTGGGAGGCTGAGGCGGGAGGCTCACTTGAATCCAGGAGTTCAAGACCAGCATGGCCAACATGGTGAAACCTCTCCACAAAAAATACAAAAGGTATCCGGTTGTGGAGTCCTTGTGCCTGTAGTCCTAGCTACTTGGGAGGCAGGATCGCTTGAGCCATGGAGTTCGGATTGCAGTGAGCTGTGATCGCGCCGCTGCACTCCAGCCTGGGTGACACAGTGAGACCCTGTCTCAAAAAAAAAAAAAAAAAAAAAAAAAAAAAATCGGCTGGGCGCGGTGGCTCACACTTGTAATCCTAGCACTTTGGGAGGCCGAGGTGGGTGGATCACCTGAGGTCAGGAGTTCAAGACCAGCCTGGCCATCATGGTAAAACCCCATCTTAAAAAAAAAAAAGAAAAAGAAAAAAATCGTAAAATACTTTTGAGTTTGTGCTGGGTGGGCATAAGGGAAGCATGCTCAGTGACTGGAAAAAGCTCGGATTACACATAAACCAATGGACTGAGCGAGCAGGTTAGATGTTGTGGAAAAGGGAACCAGCAGCGTGTCACGTGCTCTTTAACGCCGGTGCCAGAGTCTCCAGTCGCGTCCTTCACTTGTTAACCTTTCCCACCCACCCCCTCACCCCGCCAGTCTGCTAGGTTCCAGCGCCAGGCTCCGTTCCGCCCTTGGCTTCCCGCCAATCACCGCTGACTGTGAAGGCCCTGGGCTGCTATTGGAGCAGACAGGAGGGGCGGTGCCCGCTCTGGGCGGCGCGGGTGGGGAGGAGGCCACGTCCTCTCTTCCAGTGCAGCTACCGCTCCGCGCTCTGCGACCATGGCTGTGCTGGCGGCACTTCTGCGCGGCGGCAGCCGCAGTCCCCTGCTCCGGAGGCTGCTGCAGGTGAGCGGGGTCTGTCCCCACCGCGCTCGGACCCTGGATGCGAGGAGTTCCCACCTCGGAAGCGTTCTGCCCGCGGCCCTTGCGGCTCCCGTGGCCCGGGTGCTCTGTGTAGGCCCCAGGCTGAGACAGGAGAATCACTTGAATTGGGGAAGCGGAGGTTGCAGTGAGCCCAGATCATGCCACTGCACACCAGCCTGGGCAACAAAGAGCAAAATTCTGCCTCGAAAAAAAAAATAGTGCGCACGGGTGTTGTGGAAGCTGAGATAGGAATGCCGACCTCTGCCTGGTATGGGCCAGGTCTTGAGTTGGTGCTGCAGCTGAGCCCTCCCTGAAAGATAATTGTGTTATGCAGATAAAACTTAATGGATTGTGTTCATTCAGCATGTATTTACTACACACTATAAGGTTCAGTGTTCTGACCATACTGTGATTTTGTCATTCATTTCTGATATTTAATGAGCACTAGGCACTATGCTAAGGATAGGGATGTAGCAGTGAACAAGAGACACGTCCTGCCATCAGGAATCCTGCATTAGGTTGGAGGGTGAACCACATGCTTAAAGTGTGAGAGGTGATTTGAAAGAAATAATGATATTCATATAAAAGTGGAAAAAGTAGAGGGCAACTTTAAAGTAGGTTAGAGTACGTTCGGATTCACTTTGGGAATGGGTCATTAGAAAAGACATGAAGAACAAAAATGAGCCAGCCATGGAGAGCTAGGGAGACTTTTTGTTTTGTTTTTGATTTTTTTTTTTGGATCACACTCTTGCCCGGGCTAGGTTGCGGTGGCATGATCTTGGCTCACTGCAACCTCTGCCTCCTTTATTTAAGCAATTACCCTGCCTCAGCCTCTGAAATAGCTGGGATTACAGGCAAGGAACGTGCCCCCATGCCCCGCTAATTTTTTTTTTTTTTTGTATTTTTGGTAGAGACGGGATTTCACCATGTTGGCCAGGCTGGTCTTGAATTCCTGACCTCGTGATCTGCCCGCCTTGGTCTCCCAAAGCGCTGGGGTTACAGGCGTCAGCTTCTGCGCCTGGCCACAAACAGGTTTTCTAGGGTTGGAAATTGTGAGCTATGATTTGGACATTCACCTGCAGCTGTCAGGTTGGCGATTGGTTGTGAGTCCGGCGGTCAGTTGACAGGTCAGGGTTGGAGATAAATTTGGAACATCATCAGCACATAACTGCTTTTTAAAACCATAGAACTGGATATGATTATCTAAGGAGATAGTGAAGTTAAATGTGCAAGGCCATTCTGCACTTGTTGGAAGGGAAAGAGGAGATAGTAAAGGAGACTGAGGTAAATATGACTAATGAGGTGGGAAGGAGGCCACATATGTAATGGAAGCCAAGACAAGGAACAGTTTCTGCAGCGGATTACACATATTACCTCATTCTCATTATAGCCTGTGGAGGGTATTTGAGCAAGCCAAGGTAAATATGTCTAAGTAACTTGCTTGAGAATTCTCAGCTTGCAGGGCACAATGGCTCACGCCTGTAAACCCAGTACTTGGGAAAGCCAAGGCAGGAGGATCGCTTGAGCCCAGGAGTTTGAGACCAGCCTGGGTAAGATAGTAAGACTCTGTCTCTACCAAACAAAGAAACAAAGAATACTGAGCTAGGAAGCCCAGGTGCTTAACTGCTTGGCGTGTATCTCAAATAAAGGTGAGCCCAGTCTTGCTGAGATGTTAAAAGGTTAAGTGAGACCATTATAGTGAGTTGGATTTTGCTACACAGACATTGTTGATCTTTCCCAGGACCAGCAGTGGTAAACTGGCAGAAATAAAATCTGGATCTGAGTGGGTTGAACCGAAAGAGGAGGTGAGGACAAGTAAACAGACATTATAGGTGCATGGAGAAACTTTCTTGCCAAAGGGAACTCAAGTGAGATGAGGCCATGCCTCATGCCTGTAATCTAGCACTTTGGGAGGCTGAGGCAGGCAGATCACCTGATATCAGGAGTTCAAGACCAGACTGGCCAGCATGGTGAAACCCCATCTCTACTAAAAATACAAAAATTGGCCAGGCATTGTGGCGTGCCTGTAGTCCTAGCTACTCGGGAGGCTGAGGCAGGAGAATCACTTGAACCTAGGTGGCAGAGGTTGCAGTGCGCTCTCGCCTGGGTGACAGAGCAAGACTCTGTCTCAAAAAAAAAAAAAAAAAGGAGTGAAAGCTCAGTGGGAATGTGGGTCAAGAGACATTTGTTTTTACTTTTTTTTTTTTAGGTGGGGGGAATCTTAGCTGTTCGTATGTTTATGGAGTTATCCAGAAATAAGAGGGCTGAATGTCATAGGGGAGAGGGAAAGGGTAACTGTGCCAGCTTCGAAAAGGCAACTGGAGATGGGATCCACAGCAAAGCGGAGAAAGTCAGGGAAGCTCCCATTAAACTGAAGTAGAAAAGAGAAAGAAGAGAAGTGGCTTAGTAAACAAGGAACGAACTAGCCAAGTAGAAACCGAACTTTTAAAACTTAAATTTATTTTTATTTCAATAGGTTTTTGGGGAACAGGTGGTGTTTGATGATATAAGTTCTTTAGTGGTGATACTTGAGATTTTGGTGTACACTTTACCTGAGCAGTGTACACTTTTATCCCTCACCCCCCTCCCACCCTTTCTATTGAGTCCTCAAAGTTTATTTTTCTTGAGACGGAGTCTCTGTCGCCCAGGCAGGAGTGCAGTGGCATGATCTCAGCTCACTGTAGCCTCCACCTCCTGTGTACAAGTGATTTTCCTGTCTCAGCCTCTCAAGTAGCTGAGACTACATACACATGCCACCAAGCCTAGCTTACTTGTGTATTTTTAGTAGACACAGGGTTTTACCACGTTGGCCAGGATGCTCTTGATCTCTTGATCTCGTGATCCGCCTGCCTTGGCCTCCCAAAGTGCTGGGATTACAGGTGTGAGCCACTGCGCCCAGCCATTGTATCATTCTTATGCCTTTGTGTCCTCATAGTGTAGCTCCCACTTTTTTAAAAAATTATTTTTATTATTAATTTTTAGAGACAGGATTTGCTTGTTGCCCAGGCTTGAGTGCAATGGTATAATCTCGGCTCACTGAAACCTCCACTTCCCGGGTTTAAGCGATTATCCTGCCTCAACCTCCCTAGTAGCTGGGATTACAGCCATGAGCCACCAAGCCCAGCTAATTTTTTGTATTTTTAGTAGAGATGGGGTTTCTCCATGTTGGTCAGGCTGGTCTCGAACTCCCGACTCACGTGATTCACCTGCCTCAGCCTCCCAAAGTACTGGGATTACAGGTGTGAGCCACCGCGCTCGGCCATGTAGCTCCCATTTATGGGTGAGAACACAGGCTGTTTGGTTTTCCATTCCTGAGTTACTTCACTTAGAATGAAAGTCTCTAATTCCATCCAGGTTGCAGTGAATGCCATTATTTCATTCCTTATTATGGCTGAGTGGTATTCCATGGTATATACAACTCATTTGCTTTATCCACTTATTGATTGATGGGCATTTGGGCTGGTTCCATAGTTTTGCAGTTTTGAACTGTGCTGCTGTGAAAATGTGTGTGCAAGTGTCTTTTTCATATAATGAATTCTTTTTTTTTTTTTTTTTTCCCCACTTTTGAGACAGAGTCTTGCTCTGTCACCCAGGCTGGAATGCAGTGGTATCATCTCCACTCACTGCAACCTCTGCCTCCTGGGTTCAAGCGATTCTCCTGCCTCAGCCTCCTGAGTAGCTGGGAACACAGGCATGCACCACCACGCTTGGCTAATTTGGTACTTTTTAAAGTAGAGAGAGGGTTTCTCTCCATGCTGGTCAGGCTGGTCTTGAACTCCTAACCTCTAGTGATTCACCTGGTTTGACCTCCCAAAGTGCTAGGATTACAGGCAGGAACCACCGTGCCTGGACTTCGTATAATGACTTCTTTTCCTCTGGGTAGATACCCAGTAGTGGGATTGCTGGATCAAATGGTAGTTCTACTTTTAGTTCTTAAAGGAATCTCCAGAAAGGGGATCGGAAATAAAGTGCAGCTGGCTGGGTGCAGGGACATGTGCCTGTAGTCGCAGATGCTCTGGAGGCTGAGGCAGGAGGATTGCTTGAGTCTAGGAGTTCTGGTTTATTTATTTTAATATGTAAAATTTTTAAAAAAGGAAACAAAATAAAGTGCAACTTACCCTGTCAGAATCCAAACTAGAAAATCACTAACCGAGCCGTCTTTTGTCTCTTCTGGTATGCTGTGGTCTATTTTTCCTGTCTCTGAGTATACATGTTCCATTCTTTTGCTTCTCAGCGTATTCATGGCCTTTCTCTTTGTTCTAACCTCTGCTTTTCGGTGGCATTGGCTGGTCAGCTCCAGCCCCGTGTGATTTTTCAATCCCAGTGCCCACCATCATCCACTGACCCAGTCTCTGAGGGTGCTAGCTTATGTGAGTCCATTCCACTCTTGATCCTATCAGCTCTGGCCAGAGGCAGGGGAGTCACCTTGTGAGTACTTGGGGTTGCCCTTTCCAGAGCCCTCTGAGAAAGGTGTGTGTTTGGAGAGGCAGTGACTGGCATGTTTACTACAAGTAGAAAAATTTTTTTGGTAAATTTTATTATTTTTAAAATTTATTATTATTATTATTTTTAAATGGAGTCTTGCTCTGTCACCCAGGCTGGAGTATAGTGGCGTGATCTTGGCTTACTGCAGCCTCTGCCTCTGCCTCCCAGATCAAGTGATTCTCCTGCCTCATGACTCCCAAGTAGCCAGGATTACAGGCATGGACCACTATACCCAGCTAATTTTTGTATTTTTAGTAGAGATGGGGTTTTGTCATGTTGGTCAGGCTGGTCTCAAACTCATGGCCTCAAGTGATCCACCTGCCTCAGCCTCCCAAAGTGCTGGGATTATAGGCGTGAGCCACTGCACCTGGCCCATGTAGGAAATTTTTATTCAAAGCTGGATCACACATAATATGCTAGCATCCCCTATGATAAGTAGGTTATATAAGCGGCAGTCCTCATTATGTGATATGTTGAGTGAGGGGCACTTGTTTTTATGCAGCTGATACCAGGGAGTACACCTGCAGAGCAGATGCATTTGGGCCTTGCCTACCGAGGCATACACATTAAGTGCTGGCCTGGGTCAGTATTATACATGATCACTTGAGTGAAGCTTAGGAGACTGAAAATTAACACAAACCTTCCTTGTCTAATGACATAGCTTTAAGAAAGTAGAAATACAGACAGAGGTAGTATATTACTTTTATTTCAAAGTCTGGGCTAACAAGTTAATCTGATAGCAACATGTAACATATCAGTGATCTCATTGTGTAAACACAAATCTGACACCAAATGTTTGTAAAACTGCCTGAAGCATTTCAGTGATCATTGTACAGCACCATGGAATCGTTCTCCTGTGAATCTGGGATGGTTTGTTTAGCTAGTCCTATGAGAACACATGGACACAGGGAGAAGGGGAGCATCACACACTGGGATCTGTCCGGGGGGGAAATGTGGGGAGGGACAGTGGAGGGTGGGGAGTTGGGGAGAGATAGCATGGGGAGAAATGCCCCAGATAGAGGTGATGGGGAGGAAGGCAGCACATCACACTGCCATGTGTGTACCTATGCAGCAGTCTTGCATGTTCTTCACATGTACCCCAAAACCTAAAATGCAGTTTAAAAAAATGCTACTCCTGTATTTCTTGCCAAATTCTATCTTAGAAATATGTACAGGGCCGGGCACGGTGGCTCAAGCCTGTAATCCCAGCACTTTGGGAGGCCGAGGTGGGTGGATCATGAGGTCAAGAGATCGAGACCATCCTGGTCAACATGGTGAAACCCCGTCTCTACTAAAAATACAAAAAATTAGCTGGGCATGGTGGTGCATGCCTGTAATCCCAGCTACTCAGGAGGCTGAGGCAGGAGAATTGCCTGAACCCAGGAGGCGGAGGTTGCGGTGAGCCGAGATCGCGCCATTGCACTCCAGCCTGGGTAACATGAGTGAAACTCCGTCTCAAAAAAAAAAAAAAAAAAAAGAAATATGTACAGGTAATTTTAACATTTTTCCCCCAGAAGATTATAATGCTGCTTGAGTACAGAACCAGGTTTTATAGATTTCAAATTCCTCATAATGCCTTCTATAAGGTAAGTGATTTCAACAAGTTTGTCAAGCAAGTGAAGCATTAAATAGTTGTTTGTGTGTCAGTCATCTCTCCCTAAAAAGACTGTAAAGGCCTCTTTGGAATAGGGGCTGCATTCAATATTTGTAATGATGACATTTTAAAATTGAATCAGGACTTAGTTTATTTCATTCAGCAAAGTTGTTAACATAAAGTTTTCACATAAGAGCGACGTATTCCATAATATTAACATCAAAAAAGTGTTTACCTTAGAATTAAATTCTGTTCTTCCACTGCCTAGGGAAACATTCTCTCTTTACGGTGCCATTTGCCATATCTATTCTCATCCAAACACTATACAAATCAATTTGGGCCTGGGCATGGTGGCTCACACTTGTAATCCCAGTACTTTGGGAGGCTGAGGCTGGCAGATCACCTGAGGTCAGGAGTTTGAGACTAGCCTGTCCAACATGGTGAAACGCTGTCTTTACTAAAAATAAAATTAGCTGGGCATGGTGGTGGGCGCCTGTAAATCCCAGCTACTCAGGAGGCAGAAACAGGAGAATCGCTTGAACCCAGGAGGCAGAGGTTGCAGTTAGCCGAGATCATGACAGTGCTCTTCAGTGTGGGTGACAGCGAGACTCCGTCTCAAAAAAAAAAAAAAAGTCAATTTGGGGGCTTCCTTGTTACTGTGACTGTTTATAACTCCTGCTTGACAAATCTTTCCTTTGTCCTGTGTTATAAATGGAAAGTTTTAGTTATTTCTGTTGAGTCAGGACAAAGCATGTTGATCTGTGAAAAGCTAAATTCTTGGGTCAATTTAAAGTTCAGATATTTGTAGCCTTGTTTGTTGCTCTGTTTACAAGATGATTGCCCATTATAACTTTCCATAATTAGTTGATAAGGTTCTAAATCTAAATTGTCACTTTTGACTGTTTGCTGTGCTTTCTGACCTCAGATGATAAAAAACTTTATTCTTCCTGGAATGTCGAGGCTGTTGTGAGCCGTGATTGTACCACTGCACTCCAGCCTGGGTGACAAAGCAAGACCCTGTCTCAAAACAAAATTAAAAAAATGTATTCTTTGTTCTTTGTCCTGTAAATAGTCTAATTTCACATCAGTTATGTCTCTGAATTGAGTCCTGCATTGTCAGAATTTACTGTGTGTTGTTTTGTTTTGTTTTTTTAAACGGAGTTTTGCTCTTTTCTCCCAGGCTGTAGTACAATGAACATGTGTGTGCAAGTGTCTTTTTCGTTAATGATTTCTTTTTTTTTTTTTTTTTTTTTTTTTTTTCCATTTTTGAGATGGAGCCTTGCTCTGTCACCCAGGCTGGAATGCAGTGGCATGATCTCGGCTCACTGTAACCTCCGCCGCCTCGGTTCAAGAGATTCTCCTGCCTCAGCTTCCCAAGTGGCTGGGATTACAGGCACCCACCACTACCTCTGGCTAATTTTTGTATTTTTAGTAAAGACGAGGTTTTGCCAAGTTGGCCAGGCTGATCTCCAACTCCTGACCTCAAGTGATCCACCCACCTCAGCCTTCCAAAGTGCTGGGATTACAGGCATGAGCCACTGCGCCTGATCTGTTGTTGACATTTGTTCCTAAGAAGCGTGGAAAGAACTGAAAAGTAGTAGGGGCAAGATGATTACTCTTTCCTTTAAGAAAATATTTATCTGCTATTACAGATTATATTTATATGAGATGTGTTTGCCTCATATAAAAAGACAATTTTTGGAAGTGCATGGAGAGAAACAGCAAGTTTTACTTGAAAACAATCTTAAAGAAATGAGAATATCTGGCCAGGTGCAGTGTAATGCCAGCACTTTAGGAGACGAAGGCAGATGGATTACCTGAGGTTAGAAGTTTGAGACCAGCCTGGCCAAACTGCTGAAACTCCGTCTCTACTAAAAATACAAAAATTAGCTGGGCATAGTGGTGGGCACCTGTAATCCCAGCTACTCAAGAGGCTGAGGCAGGAGAATCACTTGAACCCGAGAGGCAGAGGCTGCAGTGAGCCGAGATTGTGCCATTCATTGCACCCCAGCCTGGGTGACAGAGCAAGACTCCGTCTCAAAAAAACAAACAAACAAACAAAAAAGGAAATGAGAATATCTTGTTAGATTTTAAGAAAGACTTGAAATTTTTTTTCTTCAGACAGAGTCGTGCTCAGTTGCCCAGGCTGGAGTGCAGTGGTACAATCTTGGCTCACTGAAACCTCTGCCTACTGGGTTCAAGTGATTCTCCTGCCACAGCCTCCCAAGTAGCTGGGATTACAGGCATGTGCCACAACACTGGGCTAATTTTTGTACTTCTGCTAGAGACTGGGTCTCACAATGTTGGCCAGGCTGGTCTTGAACTCCTGATCTCAGGTGATCTGCCCGCCTCAGCCTCCCAAAGTGCTAGGATTACAGGCGTGAGCCACCGCACTTGGCCAAGACTTAGAAATTTTGAGATAGTAAACTTAGAAGTTAAAACATACATTTCCGGCCAGGTGCCGTGGCTCACACCTGTAATCCCAGCACTTTGGAAGGCCAAGGCAGGTGGATCACCTGAGGTCGGGAGTTCGAGACCAGCCTGACCAACATGGAGAAACCCTGTCCCTACTAAAAATACAAAATTAGCAGGCATGGTGGTGCATGCCTGTAATCCCAGCTACTGGGGAGGCTGAGGCAGGAGAATTACTTGAACCTAGGAGGTGGAGGTTTCACTGAGCTGAGACTGAGCCACTGCACTCCAGCTTGGGCAATAAGAGCAAACTCTGTCTCAAACAAAACAAAACAAACACACCATACATTTCCAACGAATAGTTAATCAGAAAAGTTTATTATGAAGCAGTTATTTTTTTCTAATTTTTAAAAGTCATATATTCTGACTGCAAAAACTTGGAAATGAAAGCATAAAGGTACAGGAAGAAATCACTATAAAACCTTATCACTGAGAAATATAAAATGATACAGATTAATATTTTTTACATTATAAATATTTATATTATAGGAAATAAGATACGTGGAACGAAGTTATGTATCACAACCCACTTTGAAGGTAAGTAATTTAAATTGTGCTTTAAAATTTCCAGAATTTAAAGGAAATAATAAAAATGTATATACTGATGATGTGGGTATATGTGAAGGTTAGAGCAGGATTATGCAATGGTTAGGAATAGCTAACTATTGAAATATGAAGTTAAACTAGGTTAGTATAATGTAAAAACATTTCAGTTAGTCTCTGCTCATGTTTGCTGCTTCTCCATCGTCTGCTGCAAACAACCTTTTCTCTAGAACTGGACTCTTCCTTGACTCACAGGCACTCCCATTGTATTGTGTGTGTGTTATAAGCAGACACTGTATAGAAGATCCTAGAAGAGAGGGAGTGGAACAGCTGGGAATTGGACAAGGAAGGCCATTACAGCATCTCCTAGGACCTTCTGAGTCCTCTTTTTGTTTTGTAAGGTTCACTAAAGTGACTTAGTTAAGACCTTCTATCAAAACCTAGGCAACAATTCTGTTATTAATCTATAAATAGGAGGCTGTGGAAGACAAGTGTGAGGAGAGAACAGTCACAGTGCTGTTTTATAGCATTCAAGAGGGCTTTTATATTCTTTTGCTTAATGCTCATGCTATTGTCTCATTGTTTAAGAAATTATGGCTCTGGGTGGCTCACGCCTGTAATCCTAGCACTTTGGAAGGCCGAGGTGGGTGGATCACCTGACGTCAGGAGTTCGAGAACAGGCTGGCCAACATGGCAAAACCCTGTCTCTATTAAAAATACAAAAATTAGCTGGGCATAGTGGCAGGTGCCTGTATTCCCAGCTACTCAGGAGGCTGAGGCAGGAGAATCCCTTGAACCTGGGAGGCAGAGGTTGCAGTGAGCCAAGATCACGCCACTGTACTCCAGCCTGGGCGACAGAGCAGGATTCCATCTCAAAAAAAAAAAAAAAAAAAAGAAAGTAATTATGGGTCTGGCTCTGTCCTAGTTAAGTGGTATAGCCCCATCTAAGATACGGGCCTTGATTCCTAGCCCAGAGTTCCTTTTAGTAAGGGACCCTCTTGGTTAGAGTTGTTTATTATGCAGTTAATAAGAGTAAAGTGGCAGAGCGTGGTGGTTCATACCTGTAATCCCAGCACTTTGGTAGGCCAAGACAGGAGGATTGCTTGAGCCCAGGAGTTCGAGGCTGCAATGAGCTATGATCATGCCACTGCATTCCAGCCTGGGCAACTGAGCAAGACCCTGTCTCAAAACAAAAATACAAAAACAAACCAAGTTAGAGTGACCATTTTTCTTAAGTTACGACTGAGGAATAGAAAGGAAACTTAAGCTTCTGACCTCAAACCTCCTGTGGAGAACTGGGAAGGATCTACATCTGTTTTTTGAGTTGGTTTCTCGAAGGTCTTCCTTAGACAAAATAGTTGAACAGCTGTAAAGATAATCAATTCAGCGGTAGCGCTTACTGAATTGGTATTCAACTATTTAGATTAATTTTTGATGACTTCTCATTCATAAGTGTTTTTGGGTATTTATGAATTAGGTTTATTTAATGAAATACGATTTGGGTAAAATACCTACAATTTTTACTATCTTATATCTTGCCAGGAAGTGGTCATAGCAAGTGCTGTAAGAACACCCATTGGATCCTTCTTAGGCAGCCTTTCTTTGCTGCCAGCCACTAAACTCGGTTCCATTGCAATTCAGGGAGCCATTGAAAAGGCAGGTCAGTAGTTGCTTTGCTTTTTAAGGGAGCAAAATTATTCGATGGAAAATATACTTATTTTGCATTAACTATGGATGTAACACTTAGAAATGACTTAATGCGGCCGGGTGCAGTGGCTCATGCCTATAATCCCAGCACTTTGGGAGGCTGAGGCAGGCAGATCATGAGGTCAGGAGTTTGAGACCAGCCTGGCCAACGTGATGAAACCCCATCTCTACTAAAAATACAAAAATTAGCTGGGCATGGTGGCAGGCATCCTGTCATCCCAGCTGCTTGGAAGGCTGAGGCAGGAGAATCGCTTGAACTTGGGAGGGAGAGGTTGCAGTGAGTTGAGATGGCGCCCCTGCACTCCAGCCTGGGTGACAGAGCAAGACTCTGTCTCAAAAAAAATAAAAAAGAAATGACTTAATGCCTACACTTCTGCTTTCCCTTGTAAAGAAGGCTTTGTTCTATATAGTTTAGATTGGAACTCAAAACTGATAAGAAAAAGAAACCATTCCTATTGTGTAATGTCACATTTTATTAGGTAATCACTATTAAATTGAATTTAATGCCTTTGTGGCTTTTTTTTTTTTTTTTAAATAAAGGGATTCCAAAAGAAGAAGTGAAAGAAGCATACATGGGTAATGTTCTACAAGGAGGCACAGGACAAGCCCCTACAAGGCAGGCAGTATTGGGTGCAGGTACTAGGAAGACATTTTTGCTTTTATACTTAAAATGTGTAAAATGGGCTTGGTGCAGTGGTTCAAGCCTGTAATTGCAGCACTTTGGGAGGCTGAGGCAGGTGGATCGTGGGGTCGAGAGATCGAGACCATCCTGGCCAATGTGGTGAAACCCGGCTGCTACTAAAAATACAAAAATTAGCTGTGTGTGGTGGCACACACCTGTAATCCCAGCTACTCGGGAGGCTGAGGAAGGAGAGTCACTTGAACTCAGGAGGTGGAGGTTGCAGTGAGCCGAGATTGCGCCATTGCACTCCAGCCTGGGTGACAAAGCGAGACTCCATCTCAAAAAAAAAAAAAAAAAGTGTAAAATGGCAGAATGATTATTTAAGCTTAAATGAAATACTAAATGCATTATATAATTTGTAGTCCTTGGCAGAAGAAATGTTGCAGATTATAGTAACATGCTCTATTAAAGTTCTGCAGTTTTGTTTATCTGTTTTTCAAAAGTGACTTATATTGGTTTTAGGCTTACCTATTTCTACTCCATGCACCACCATAAACAAAGTTTGTGCTTCAGGAATGAAAGCCATCATGATGGCCTCTCAAAATCTCATGTGTGGACATCAGGTAAGAAACACCTTTTCCATTTATTAAGCAGAATAATACCCAGGGCTAAAAGACACAAAAATTTAGGCATATTCATGCTTTAGAAATGAAATTCTTTCTCATAAGTTACTATGTTTTCTCATACGTTCAAGAGTGTCTGGATTTGCTAAGTCCATTTGAAAAACAATCAAAATGATAGCCTAGGTTGGGTATCATGCCTGTAATTCAGCACTTGAGAAGGTCGAGGCAGGAGGATCCCAGGAGTTTGAGACCAGCCTAGGCAACATAGCAAGTGGGACCCTGCTCTTTTTAAAAAAAAAAAGATAGCCAAAGTGATTTGTGTTAAAAAGTAGTTTTTAGGCCCAGGCGCAGTGGCTCAGTCCTATAATCCTAGCATTTTGGTAGGCTGAGGCCGGGGCAGATTACTTGAGGCCAGGAATTCAAGACCAGCTTGGCCAGCACGGCAAAACCCCATTTCTACTAAAAATGCAAAAATTAGCTGGGTGTGGTGGCAGGCACTTGTAATCCCAGCTACCCCGGAAGCTGAGGCACAAGAATCACTTGCATCTGGGAGGCAGAGGTTGCAGTGAGCCGAGATTGTGCCACTGCACTCCAGCCTGGGAGACAGAGCAAAAGTCTGTCAAAAAAAAAGAAAAAAATTTATAGTTTTTAGCCAAGGCATTGGGGTCTTTCTCTGAGGATGGGTGACTAAGAATTCATAAGTACTGTATTTGACAGAGTAAGAAGGGTTTTCATTATAAAGGAGAACAAGTTGCTTAACCCTGGGAATCAAATCATTGACTGAGCCCAGGCTTGATGACTAATTTGTACTTTGTACAATGCCTGGATTCAGTTTCTAAAGGCTTTCTAATTAGCCTTAAGCAAGAGACAGGCTGCTTAGCACATATATGCTGTCATGTCAGGAGGTGAGACCTGGGCACACAGAAGAACCAGGATTCTCTCAGATCTGAGCTCTTCATTTCTCAGATGAAGATTATCTTCAGTGTGTCTGAGATAGCCACAAAGTTAGAGGGCTGGGCATCTACCGTGTGCCAGTCACTGGAAATAGAGTGGTGAACAGAACATTGAAAAAAATCTCTACGTGTGCAGGTCTCTGTTGGACAAATTCCTAAAAAGAAATGCTGAGTCAGAGGATTTGATCATTTTGATATTAGCAATTGCTTTCCCTAACAGCTGTACCAGTTACTTTCCAAAAGTTGTGTGACCTGTTTGCCTGCAGCTGCACCAACACTGGGTGGAGCCAAACCCTTGTCAAACCAGTGGGTGAAAAACGATCATGAAATTGTTTAGACTTTCAGAGCTGCTTGATGTAGAAAGTTTTGTCTTAATTAATTTATTGTGGTTCTCTGGCAAATACTATCTGTACTACATTGAAATACTTTCATTTAATATTACTTGATTCATTTGTGCATAAATACAGTGACTTACAGGCATACTTGGAAGTGCTTTGTTTTGAATATTGATGATCTTGGAAAATGGTCAGTTTTACTTTATAACGAAGAATAATTGATACTTTATTTTGTCAGTTTTTATTGCCATCACTAATAGTAAAAAGTAAAAGTGAATAAAACTTAGATGAGAACTGGTTAAGAATTTCTGTATTTTGGGATAGGCAAAATATTTAGGTTTCTTTGGTATAGAGCTTGCTTGTCTGTATGCCTGATCAACGACTGTAAGAAGATACCATTGGCTTTATATTTATATTAAACTATATTTTTAACTAGCCCTTATAATGCAAGTGAACTTTTTTTGCTGACTTGTAAAGTAGTAACAGGTTGATTGATTAATATTAAACCTCTATATGCCAGTTGCCAAGGATGTAAAAATATGACAAGGTGTCTGACCTCAAAGGAGCAGAGTCTAGGGGGAAGACTTGACATATAATATTAATAAAAGCATTGCATAGTAATTGGGGAACATGAAGGAAAAGAAACTGTTTCAGGAAAAGATAGAAATAAGTGGTCAAGGCAGACATGAAGTAGTGTTCTGATTAGTTTTAAAGGAAATGTAGGTGTTTTTACATGTAGGTGGATAGGTCAGAAAGTACAGAGGTGTGTGTGTAAATGTGCACAGTGTCTCTGGAGAGCTTTAACTAGTTCTGTGTGACCTGAGGTATAGGTCAGGCCATGAGACTGAAAAAAGGGAGAGAAGTCACACTGTAAAGGCTGTATATACTGTGCTGAGTTCGCTAAGGTGTGAAATGATCAGACTTACATTCTAGCCAAAACGAGTCAGATGAGTGTAGATGATTCTTTGGTGGAAAGGCTGCATGTCAGAAGATCAAATGGACATTTTTTTCAGCTGTCCAGGAAGAGATGATGAGGATCTCAATCAAGGAAGTGGCATTATTTCCATGAACTGAGATTACTTCTAATCTTCTAGAACACATTACCTTTTTAGTAGCATGAATGAAATGAAGGGTTGGAAGGAAAGAATTTCAGGTCAGGCATGGTGGTTTACGCCTGTAATCCCAGCACTTTGTGAGGCTGAGGGGGAGGATAGCTTGAGTCTGGGAGTTCGAGACCTGCTGGGTGACATAGTGAAACCCCGTCTCTACTAAAAATACTATACAAAAATTAGCTGGGTGTGGTGGTGCATGCCTGCAGACCCAGCTACTCAGGAGGCTGGGATGGGAGGATAACCTGAGACCAAAAGGTGGAGGCTGCAGTGAACTGAGATTGGGCCACTGCACTCCAGCCTGGGCAACAGTAGGACCCTGTCTAAAAAAAGGTAAGTATTTTAGAAGATGGTTTTACATGGAGGATTTCTGGTATTCTTATTAATGTCTGATAATGTACTTCTCTCTTTTTAAGACAGAGTCTTGCTCTCTCACCCAGGCTGGAGTGCAGTGGCATGATCTCAGCTCACAGCAACCTTTGCCTCTCAGGTTCAAGCAGTCCTCCTGCCTTGGCATCCCGAGTAGCTGGGATTACAGGCGCCTCCCACCACGCCCAGCTAATTTTTGTATTTTTAGTAGAGGGGGGGTTTCAACATGTTGGCCAGGCTGATCCCGAACTCCTGACCTCAAATGATCCACCCCCCCCCAGCCTCCTAAAGTGCTGGGATTACAGGTGTGAGCCACCGTGGCCAGCCAACTTATCATTACACATTTTATACCATTTCATCAGGGCGAAGCTGTAACGAGGGTACTTCCTATATTCACTGTGTAACAAATGTTTGATAAATGCATGTAGAATACTTGTTTGGAGGTAGCTGTATAAATGGTATCATGGGTTTGCAACTATCTGAGTTAACATTAGGTCTTTCTGGCGTTGCTGCACAGGATGTGATGGTGGCAGGTGGGATGGAGAGCATGTCCAATGTTCCATATGTGATGAACAGAGGAGCAACGCCCTATGGTGGGGTAAAGCTTGAAGATTTGATCGTGAAAGACGGGCTAACTGATGTCTACAATAAAATTCATATGGTAAATAGGATTTTTAGTGGATAAATGCTATCTAATGTCCAGTACTGTTTGATTTTTCTTACTGTATATACTTTACAAACTGAACTGAAAGATGGGCTCTGTAACTGTTGATTTTAGCCATGTGCTTTAGGAAAATATTTTTATATGCCTATGGTATCGGCATGGCTCAGCCATTAAAGAAATTATCCCACATTTAAATAGGGTATTTTCTGATGCTCAGTTAGCAACTCCTAGGCTAATTCAAGTATTTGAAGATAAGACATGAGTGGGCTGGGCATGGTGGCTCATGCCTGTAATCCCAGCACTCTGGGAGGCTGAGGTGGGCAGATCACCTGAGGTCAGGAGTTGGAGACCAGTTTCGCCAACATGATGAAACCCTGTCTCTACTGAAAAAACAAAAAATTAGCCAGGCATGGTGGTGTGCGCCCGTAATCCCAGCTACTGGGGAGGCTGAGGCAGGAGAATCACTTGAACTTGGGAGGCGGAGGTTGCAGTAAGCCAAGATTGCACCACTGCATTCCAGCCTGGATGAGAAGAGCAAACCTTTGTCTCAAAAAGACATAAGTGAAAGTTACCTAGTATAGAAAGAAATGTATTTTAAGAAACTAAATTGAACAACTAACCACTATTTTTATAAGTTATGCAAAGTTAATAGATATTTCCTAAATTATACAAAGTTAACTAGCTTTAAAATATTTCAACTTTTTCTCAGGGCAACTGTGCTGAGAATACAGCAAAGAAGCTGAATATTGGACGAGATGAACAGGACACTTATGCTATTAACTCTTACACCAGAAGTAAAACAGCATGGGAAGCTGGGAAATTTGCAGATGAAGTTATTCCTGTCACAGTTACAGTAAAAGGTAGAGAGATAATGTTCCAAACAAGATGAACAGATTTTTCATGTTGCTGAGTGTTTTATGCTTCAGTTTAAAATTAGGACATTGTTATCTCTGTTCATTTCAACTGAGGACACTGCTTATGGTTAATAAAGTGAGGAGTTGCCAGTTCAGTGAGAACATAAATCACCCAACTTAATGTCTTATTTCAATCCATTTATAAGATCTCTAAGAATATTATTTTACATTCGAGAACTGTATTTATTAGAACTCGTTTTCCTGTCAGTGACAGGCAACATGGTATTTTTTTTTTTTTTTGGGACGGAGTTTCGCTTTCGTTACCCAGGCTGGAGTACAATGGCGCGATCTCGGCTCACCGCAACCTCTGCCTCCTAGGTTCAGGCAATTCTCCTGCCTCAGCCTCCTGAGTAGCTGGGATTACAGGCACGCGCCACCATGCCCAGCTAATTTTTTGTATTTTTAGTAGAGACGGGGTTTCACCATGCTGACCAGGATGGTCTCGATCTCTTGACCTAGTGATCCACCCACCTCGGCCTCCCAAAGTGCTGGGATTACAGGCTTGAGCCACTGCGCCCGGCCAACAACATGGTATTTTAAGTTGAGTAGTGGTTTACTACAAGGTTACTGGGAGTGCCTCCAAGAACTGAAGGATGAACAGTAGCAACCATTCAGCTCTGGGAACGTCAGGGATTGGAAATGGATATTCAGTACTACTAGGACATGCTCTCCTGGCTTCTTATACCTGCAGGGTTTTGTGCTTTATTCTCTCAGCCTTTCTTAAGTTGGCGCCTCCACCTATAGCGTCACACATATAGGGTTCTCAAGGAGGAGAGAGACTTTCTCACCAGTTCCAGCAGAATAAATCCATAGTATAGACTCATTAACGTGCTTTAGGTTACAATTCTATTCCAGAAATGATTACTTGCTCTAGATGCTAGAATGTTAGAGCTTAGCCAGTATAGGCTAGATAGCTACCTCTGGGGTCAGGACAGTAGGGTCTGTGATCATAGAAGGGAGTTGAGGGAGAAGAGAATGGGATGTGAAGGTGTATCAGATTTAAATGTTGTGGCCGGGTGCACTGGCTCACACCTACAATCCCAACACTTGGGAGGCCGAGGTGGGAGAATCACTTGAGCCCAGGAGTTTGAGATCAGCTTGGGCAACAAAGTGAGACTCGGCCTCCACAAAAAAAAAAAAAAAAAATTATTGGCTGTGATGATGGTTCACACCTGTAGTCCCAGTTATGTGGGAGCCTGTGGTGGGAGGATCACTTGGACCTGGAGAGGTTGAGGTAAACTGTGATGATGCCACTGAACTGCAGCCTAAGCGACAGAGGGACACCCTGTCTCAAAAAAAAAAAAAAATTTGTTAAGCTACTTAATAAGTTTCTCTTTAAGACAGTAACATAATAGAGATTACAGATAGTAGACTCTAGATTAGTGTTTACTTGGGATGGTTTAAGGGAGGCAGGGATGCAAAGGGAGGCACAGAATACTGGGCACCAGGTACAACAGTTGTTTGCTGAATGAGTACTTGTTGGAGTGGTTTTTCTTAAAATATTTTTATTTTAGGTAAACCAGATGTAGTGGTGAAAGAAGATGAAGAATACAAACGTGTTGATTTTAGCAAAGTTCCAAAGCTGAAGACAGTTTTCCAGAAAGAAAATGGTTAGTGTTAAGAAATGAAGCATAAATAAAAAATTGAGCCAGTATACCATATCTAATTCTTAGAATTGCCTAAGGATTTTTAAAAAGTAATTGTAGAAGACATCTAGATGTTATTTAGCATTTTCAATATAGCAGACTCATGCAAAATTAATTGAAAGTATAAAATTGACAGTTTATACCTTCAATATATAAATCCCAGGGAAGAGATGTATAACATGACTATAGAATTCAGTTTTTCATATATTGCAGTCTACGGTAGGGTCTTCATTGGCATTGAAAAAAAATATATTTATTGATATAATTTGCATACCATAAATTGTCCTGTTTAAAGTGGTTCAGTAGTTTTTAGTATTCATTGATATTTAATTCCAGGTGTTCTAGATGAGAAGAAATATCTGATTTGAAAAATGCAGTGAGTATCTGCTATACATGGAATGAGGAAAGTTAGACCCTGGAGACAAAATTAGTAACTGGTCCCTATCTTTGAAGAGTTGTAGACCAGCATTTACCCACTGCCATCATGTATGTTTCTGATCTTTGAGAAGATGGTTAGTAAACAGGCATTTTACATTGTGTTGCTGTTAGCTATGTACATGTTTCCTGAGGGCAGGAATTGTCTCCACCCATATGTGTAATTTCTTTAAACATTTAGCAGCCCGGGCAGTAGGTATTTGTTAAATTGAACCAAATGTATTTATCGTGAAGGAATGTTTTGACTTATTGCTCATTTTTGCTTTCAGGCACAGTAACAGCTGCCAATGCCAGTACGCTGAATGATGGAGCAGCTGCTGTGGTTCTGATGACTGCAGATGCAGCCGAGAGGCTCAACGTTAAACCACTGGCAAGAATAGTAGGTAAGGCCTGGGAAGTGGCTCACACCTGTAGTCCTAGCACTTTGAGAGGCTGAGACAGGAAGACTGCTTGAGCAGCAGAGTTCAAAACCAGCCTGGGCAATATAGAAACTTTGTATATGCAAACAGTTAAAAAATTAGCTGAACATGGTGGCATGTGCCTATAGTCCCAGCTACTTGGGAGGCTGAGGCTGGACAATGCCTTGAGCCCAGGAGTTTGAGGTTGCAGTGAGCTGAGATTGTGCCATTGCACTCCAGCCTGGGTGACAGACCCTGTCTTTTAAAGTTTCTAAATATCTATAAGCTCTTCCTGAAATTGAGTTTCCTTGTTAGATACAGCCAACTCCAATATTATGTATTACTATCTATAGGTTGTACTTTGTGGCAGAATTTAATTGATACATCAACTGAGAGAGAAGTTCCTTCAATATTTTCATTATACTTAATATATTAAGCTTTAAGAGCTGGGCACAGTGGCTCATGCCTGTAATCCTAGCATTTTGGGAGGCTGAGGCAGAATTGCTTGAGGCCAGGAGTTTGAGACCAGCCTGGGCAACATAGTGAGACCCCATCTCTGAAAGAAAGAAAAATACTAGCCAGGTGTGGTGGCATGCCTGTAGTCCCAGCTATGCAGGAGGCTAAGGCTGACGATCGTTTGAGCCCAAGATGTCAAAGCTGCAGTACCACTGCGCTCTGGCCTAGGCAACAGAGCAAGACCTTGTCTATTTTCTTTTTCAAAAGATTAAGCTTTAAAAATTTTTCCTCTCCTATATAAGTAGAAGAAAATAAAGTACATGCGTTTTCTTAGAGAGGCAGCTGTGTAGGAAAAAAGGAATATGAGTTTAAGAATGTAGAAATATCAAATTTAGATGTGTGGCTTTTTAATTTTTATTAACTTGGTGGCACTGGGCAAATTCTCAGTGTCCTTAAGCTGATTTTTAGCTGCAAAACTCTTCCTTGCCTTCTTTCTAAGGACTTAAATGGATGCTATTTATAAGTTACTTTATAAAAAGCCTTATAACTTCATTTTTTTCTTAGCTTAGATCATGGCTTCTTAACCTCAGCACTACTGACATTCTGCACTCAGTAATTCTTTGTTGTAGGGCTGTTCTATGCATTGCAGATGTTGAGCAGCATCCTTAGCCTCTACTCAGGAGCATCTGAACTATTCTGGCAACCAAAAATATCTCTAGGTGGTGCCAATCAGCGTTCCTAGAGACAAATTTCCCCAAACTCCCTCCCAATGAAAATCAGTGTCTTGGATAACTGGACTACCTTATAAAGTGTAGAATCTTCGAAAAGGAAGAAATAGATTTACATATATTAAAGGGGTTAGGAAATGTGTATTTAATGGGTTAAACTTGGCTTTTGCATATTCTATACAGCAAAACAAAATTTTAACAACCCCTCCTTTTTTTTAAACAGCATTTGCTGATGCGGCTGTAGAACCTATTGATTTCCCAATTGCTCCTGCATATGCCGTACCTATGGTGAGAACAAAGTGAGGGACGATACTCCATTATGCCAACTGCTGCTTTGCTTTATACCAGGGTTGCAGTTTTTAGATTTTAAATGTTGTTTATCTGCCAAAGCAGAGAGATAGCTTGGTTTCAAATCTTCCCATGTCTTCTCCTGAAAAAGAGTTAAAGCAACAAGGATAAAAAAAACAAAACAAAAAGTAAGAACAGCCCACAAGCTGCATCTTCAGTAGAACAGGTAAAACTACATATCTGAATTACTTGCTAAGTATGATACTGAACTCACACACCTGGTATGGTAACCACAAAGGGGAGGGAGGTTGGGCAAAGAAAAGGGAATGCTGGCTGATGGTTCCAGATCTAGGATGGAAAGCAACTGGTCACTCCCCAGAAGAAGAGGCCTCCACTCTGAAAGGGAACAGCTGGCAGCAGGTCTTCAAATAGTACAACTAGACACAGAAAACCTACACATTCCACAGTCAGTAAGTGACTGCGCTCAAACAAGAAGTAACCAAGTCTCGTGGCAAGTTGCTGAGCAGTCACAGGAAAAGAGGTTTAGGGGTATAGGGTTCTTAGAAGTCTTACGGAAAGTGAATGCATCATGTGTAATAAACAGTTCTGGATTCTGAAGGTAGTCATTCTGAGAGCTATAGATGTGGCTATATATGGGTACCATATTTTTTGTTGTTGGAAGAGGGAGCCATTTGAACTGTACAGGATACAAAGCTACCTTAGCCCATTAGTAGAAGAGAGGAAGGTGGAGGAAGAGTTCCATGTTAATTTTGTTATTGCTCACAACCACCAAATTTCTTCTGTAAAGAAAAAGGGCACTCACTAGTAATGTTTTAAGAGGTATTATAGGAATAATCACTAGCACAAAAACACCTTCCTGCATAGCTGAGGAACTACTAAAACAAAATAGATCCTATAATGTAAGATTTTAAATAAATGACTTACAATGAAACTGCAACAAATGTAAGTATCTGTGCCCCAGATAACCCTACAGTAACTTTTATTAAGCAGAAACTGCAGGGGATGTGTTACTATTATGAATAGTAGAAGCTAATAAACCTTTTTCATAACAGTCAAGAATATAGACCTGGCTGGGTGCAGTGGCTCTTGCCTGTAATCCCAGCACTTTGGGAGTCCGAGGCAGGCTGAGCGCTTGAGCCTAGGAGGTCAAGGCTGCAGTGAGCCCCGATTGTGCCATTCCACTTCAGCCTGGGTGACACAAGATCCTGTCTCCAAACAACAACAAAAATACAGAACTAAGCAACACAGAAATCAGTAAAGCAGAGTTTAAGATTATATAAAGCATTATGTACCCCTGAATAGAAAACATACCTTTTCAAGTATCTGTGGAAAGAAAGTCAAATTTTCAGTCCCCTACCTTATGTCAAAATAGACATAAAACAATGCAAACAAAATCCTTTGGTTATAATGGAATAGGATAAGCAACTAAAAATCTGAAAATAGGCTGGGCACGGTGGCTTATGTCTGTAATCCCAGCACTTTGGGAGGACAGGGCAGGCAGATCACTTAAGGTCAGGAGTTCAAGACAAGCCCAGGCAACATGGTGAAACCCCGTCTCTACTAAAAATACAAAAATTAGCCGGGCATGGTGGTGCATGTCTGCAATCCCAGCTACTCAGGAGGCTGAGACAGAATTGCCTGAACCCAGGAGGCGGAGGTGTACTACAACCTGGGAGACAGAGTGAGACTCTCTAAAAAAATAAATCTGAAAACTGAGATCCATCTGAAACCAAGAACTTCCATATTTTAATAACTGACATCAAATTGTAGAATTTCAAGGAAATGACAGTGATTGCTACTTATTTGAACATCATCTGTCTTTTAAAAAATCGTAGGTTCTTAAAGATGCAGGATTGAAAAAGGAAGATATTGCAATGTGGGAAGTAAATGAAGCTTTTAGTCTCGTTGTACTAGCAAACATTAAAATGCTGGAGATTGATCCCCAAAAAGTGAATATCAATGGAGGAGCTGTTTCTCTGGGGCATCCAATTGGGTAGGTAAAATAGCTGCCTTTGTGTTTCTAGCTAAACTTAAAAACTGCTTCATGATAATTCCTATTAAGTTTTCCTTCCTACCCATCTTTCACAAGGCAAAAACCATTTCTGATAGATGGTATCAGTACTGAACAGAGACGTGTCACATCTGTTGTTTCAAACCCAATAATGTTTAATGCTGAAGAAAAAGCGTACATTTAGACTTTTTCCCCCTTTTCTTCCTCCTTCCTATTTATTTCATTAGCTTTAGGGTACAGTGACTTTTGGTTACATGGATGAATTTACAATGGTGGAGGCTGGTTTCAGTGCACCTGTCACCCAAGTAGTATACATTGTACCCAATACATACTTTATTCCACGTCCTCTTTCCATCGTCCATTTTACTGTTCTGTACTTTAAAAGATCTGTGACCCTTCCTGAAACAAGTCCTTCAAGTTTTAGAATAGTAGTAGTTAATTCAGTAAGAAGTAGTGGCTAGGAAGGTTTTCAAGAAGTTAAACTAGAATAGAAATATTTTTGGTTTGTCATAAATTCTGTACTTCATTAAAGAAATAAATGCTTTCTTTAAATTTTATTTTCCTTTAGGTGTATACTATATCCAGCATTTCTCCCCATGTTATCCCTCCCCTACCCATCCTCAACTGCCCCCAGTGTGTGATGCTCCTCTCCCCTAGTCCATGGGTTCTCATTGTTCAACACCCACCTAAATGCTTTCTTAATCTTAGGATGTCTGGAGCCAGGATTGTCGTTCATTTGGCTCACGCCTTGAAGAAAGGAGAATACGGTCTTGCCAGTATTTGCAACGGAGGAGGTGGTGCTTCTGCTATGCTGATTCAGAAACTGTAGACAACCTTGGCTGAGACAACTCTATGTGACCAGAAGGCCTGCCATAATCAGTGTGACTACTTTGAGTCAGCTTATATTCAGACTGTTCCATTTTTTATTATTTTCTGTTAACTTTTAAAAGTTAAAATGATGAAATCATAAAACCTTTTGAAATTAAATTTTTTTCTTTTTTGGGTAATCTTTAAATGTTTGATATATTTTTGCATTCTGAATCTATATTTTTATAGAAATATAGTACAAATACCAGTGTGTAATAATGACTAACATAAGTTTCTAGAAGCTTCCATGTTTGAGAAATTTATATTTTTGAGGATTGTTAAAGGTCAAGTGCATGCTCTCTAGGTAATTTACTTCTCTTTACAGTAAGAGCTGGCTATTCTGGACAAACTAGCAGTGCTTCATATAATCACTCAAGAAACCAGTGTGCAGTAGTACTAGAGACGAGAGAGAAGCCCATGTGCTTGGGGTCTAGAGTGGGGGCAGTTTCTTACAAGCTCCAAATTCAGGGGTGGGGGAGGTCAAGCAGAAAACCCTGCAGTTTGGGCTCTGAATTACTACAGCAGCTTAGAGCACGGGAAAGGATGTAGAAACTGATAGGCCGAATGGGTTTAGGGAGCAGCTCAACACTTCCACTATACCACAATGCCTGTTCTTAAGCAGGGCAGACTGTAGCACAAGAATCTTGCATTGCATTTATTTGGGAAAAAATTTAGAGCACTACAGGCAGGGTCTACGTTTACTACCCTCAACTGTAGCTCTAAAAAGGGAGAACTCCCCCTAGGAAGGGGAGGGGCAGTAAAGGTCATCATGTACACGTTACCTTTGGCCAATGTACTGTAGATCCTTTGAAGGAACAAAAACACAGTATATGGGAAAAATCAATTGCTCAGGCTTTTAAGATTCAGAGGAAGAGTATTTTCAAAAACATCTGTAATGATCACCAACTTTTGAGGTTCATCATGTGTTAGCACAAAGCCTTCTTATATGTATTAACTCATTTAATCATCACAAAAATTTCTAAGAATAGGTATAATATCCCTAATTTATAAATAAGGAAATTGAGGCACAGACTACCTAAATAAATTCCAAGGGCAAAAAGCTGGTAAGTAGCTGGCTAAGGTTCAACTCCAAGTCAGTGTAGCTCCAGAGTCCACGTTCTTAACTTACTATGCTTTAGTTAGTTACCTTTCAATAATGATCTGCCCCAACTTAGGAGAACTTATAACCGAAACAGGCGCTGGGTAAGATATAGGAGAAACGGAAACCTAAAACATAAGAACACTTCAATGAAGATAAGCAGAAACTAACATTGCATCCAAAGGTCATTGATCTGTAAAACATCTGAGAAGTGCTCTGAAAATTCTGGGAAAACATGGAGAGAAAATAGAGAACCACCAAGTAAGTTTGGTTTTCTTTGGTCTATTTTAAAAACACAAGGTAATTGGTCTGTCATCTAGGCTGGATGGAGTACAGTGGCATGCCCACAGCTCACTGTAACTCTGAACTCCTGGGTTCTCAAGTGATCCTCCTGCCTCGGCCTCCTGAGTAGTTAGGATTATAGGCAGATGTTACCATGTCCAGGTTAAATGGTGTTTCTCAAAAAAGAAATGGTACTCTGGGCCGGCTGCAGTGGCTCACGCTTGTAATCCCAGCACTTTGGGAGGCCGAAGCAGGCAGATCACAAGGTCAGGAGATTGAGACCATCCTGGCTAACAAAGCAAAACCCCATCTCTACTAAAAATACAAAAAATCAGCCAGGCGTGGTGGCAAGTGCCGGCTGTCCCAGCTACTCAGGAGGCTGAGGCAGGAGAATCGCTTAACTCGGGAGGCAGAGGTTGCAGCGAGCTGAGATCATGCCACTGCACTCTAGCCTGGGAGACAGAGCGAAACTCCATCTCAAAAAAAAAAAAAAAAAAAAAAAAAGCCAACCAACTCTGAAGCAATAATCTAATAGAAAGATAACAGAAAAACTCAGGTTTTTAAGTCATAAAGGAGAAGATTCTAAAGGGCATATTTTTCTTTTTTTTTTGAGACAAGAGTCTCGCTCTATAACTCAGGCTGGCACAATCTTGGCTTACCGCAACCTCTGCCTCCCGGGTTCAAGTGATTCTTGTGCCTTTGACTCCTGAGTGTACAGGTATGCACCACCACACCAGCTAATTTTTATATTTTCAGTAGAAACAGAGTTTTGCCATGTAGGTCAGGCTGGTCTCGACCTCAGGTGATCCTTCTGCCTCAGCCTCCCAAAGTGCCAGGATTCCAGGTGTAAGCCACTGTGCCCGGCCCTAAAAAGCATATTTTATTGGCAAAATTAATAGAAAATCATACTAAGACATTCTGGAGAAAATGTATTTAAAAAATTCCTCTAACATCTAAGAATAGGTAACCAGAGTTCTTATTTCTATTACATTCAATCCCCAAAAAACAAGTGACCAATATCTACCTATTTTTAATGGAACAAAATAAGATACTAGAATGTGTGTCTCAAAACACAGAAGAGTTAGATGGCTGTCAGAGGGCCAGGAAACAGAAGTGGCCCTACAAACCTGTCTTTTGTGGAAAACATTTGCATTTTTTTTTTTTTTTTTTTGAGATAGAGTTTTGCTCTTGTTGCCCAGGCTGGAGTACAATGGCGCGATCTTGGTTCACCACAACCTCTGCCTCCTGGGTTCAAGCGATTCTCCTGCCTCAGCCTCCCGATTAGCTGGGATTACAGGCATGCACCACCACACCCGGCTAATAGAAATTTGCATCTATGAGAATGTCCATTAATGCAGCCAGGACTTCCCTTGTCTGGAATCTAGAAAAGGTTAAAGGAGAGCCTGTCTGACTTTAAAGGTCTTAAACATTTAACATCCATCCTCTCAGAAAGCTACTATCTGTGAGGTTTTGGCTACATAACAAGACCGCCTTTCCCAGCCAGGTCTCCTCTCCCTCTCCATAAACTGTCTTGCCACTAAAACCTGATTTACCAAAATAACATGTTTTTGGCCATGCTTGGAGCTCACATTCCTTCTGTAACCTGAAGAGGGTATGAAGTTTCTATACTCAGGTGCGGTGGCTCACGCCTGTAATTCCAGCACTGTGGGAGGCCAAGACGGATGGATCGCTTGAGGTCAGGAGTTGGAGGGCAGTCTGGTCACATGATGAAACCCTGTCTGTACTAAAAGTGCAAAAATTAGCCAGGTGTGGTAGCACATGCCTGTAGTCCCAGATACTCGGGAGGCTGAGGTGGGAATCGTTTCAACAGGGGTTGCAGTGAGCTGAGATCATGCCATTGCACTCCCGCCTGGGCGACAGACCAAGAGTCCGTCTCAAAAAAAAAAAAAAAAAAAAAAAAAAGTTTCTACACCCCACTGGGGGTGGGGTCAGATCTTCATCTGAAGGCCCCCATGTATACACATTAAATAAACATACATTCCTTTTCTGCAACTAATCTGCCTTTTGCAAACTGATTTTTCAGGGGAACTTCAAGGTTCCAGGAAACTATGATCCTGCCACTGTACTCCAGCCTGTGGAACAGAGGGAGACCTTGTCTCTTAACAGAAATATTATTTACTGGCTGGTTCTCTATTTTTTCTCTCCTTTTCCATTTTTTTCCAAGAATTGTAAGAGCACCTTTCAAATGTTTTCCAGATCACTGACCTTTGGATGCACTACTTACCTTCAGTGAAGTATTCTAAAATGCTTTGAGTTTCTTTTTTTTTTTTTGGTATTTTACCCCAGCTCCTGGTTCCCCTTGGCCTTTACGTGGTGAAATATCAGTAACATGTATATATATATATCCGCTAAATAAAGGCAAATACCAGAAGAACAAGTTCTGAGACTGCCCTCACAGGACTTATAAGAATTGCATGCTGGTTCCTGGACAGAAATAGTTGTAACTAGGCATTAAACAGGCTGCACCTTGGCCTACTTCCTAAATCCTCGGGGAGACAGATTTGAAGTTTTCTCCAGTCTCCTCATTCAGTGGCCCTGCAATTAAGCCTTTTTGCTGCAACCCAGGGTCTTGGCATACTGACTTGTCACACACAATGTGCAATGGACCTGTTATGGTTATAGTTCTGTATCTTAAGTTACTATAGAAGACAAAAGCTTAAAACTCCAATTATAAAGTAAAATGAAGCTGGGAGCAGTGGCTCACACCTATAATCCCAGCACTCTGGGAGGCCGAGGCGGGCACATCACCTAAGGTAGGTGAGAACAGCCTGACCAACATGAAGAAACCCTTTCTTTACTAAAAATACAAAATTAGCCAGGCATGGTGGTGCATGCCTATAATCCCAGTTACTGGGAAGGCTGAGGTGGGAGAATCGTATGAACTCAGGAGGCGGAGGTTGCGGTGAGTGGAGATTGTGCCATTGGACTCCAGCCTGGGCAACACGAATGAAACTCCCTCCAGCCTGGGTAACAAGAACAAAACTCTGTCTCAAAAAAATAAAAAGGGTTGGCATGTATCATAAATTAGGAGAAGTCAAGGCAGAAACTGTTAAAATGGGGAAAGAACTACTTTTATGATGGTGGTAGACTGTGCAGAAAACAAAGCCAAAACTATGGCCAAGATAATGTTTCATGGATTAAACATTTGCGAAAAAAGCGTTAAAGCAAAGACAGGATTCAAACAGACTCTAAAGAATACCTATTTTTTTTTTTTTTAACTTTTTAAACATTTTTTTAAAACGTTGAGACACGGTCTCTGTTGCCCAGGTCGGAGTGCAGTGG